GGTTCCCAAGTTAGCGATTTTCCCGCCGGGAACCTTCACTGGGCAATACCTGAAAAGCACGCATGCGGCTGGATTTGAAATGTTTTTTTCTATTGGACGGGGAACATGACTGCAAAGTTTCAGCTCCTTAACTTTTGTGGTTCCCTAGTTAGCGATTTTCCCGCCAAAACCTTCACCTTCTCGCACTCGGGGCCCAGACTTGCGTGGGAGTTGGTGCCGCGGTCCAGGGGTGGCACTTGGCCTGGGACGGACAGACAAGCAAGCAGAGAGAGAGGCACACACTCACGCACACACACACACGCACCATGGGTCGTCACTATATGTGTTTTCGCATTTGCACATGTGCAAAAACGTATAAAAAACGAAGATTTCTATGCGTTTTTTGCAGCTACGCAATGCGAAAAACGCATATTGACGAGAGATTGTCTCTGTATGTGTGTGTGTGTCTGTGTGTGCGCAGAGCCTCTGTACCGTTTTTTCATCTCGACACCGACAAAAGCTACAGGGCTGAAACTTTGGGGGATTAATCTACACGCAAGTACAGGCCCCCCATCCCCAAAATGGGCGATCTTTCCCGCGTCGTACCCACGTAGAACCCTGCCAAAGTTTTTTACGGGTAAGCTACTAACTCACGAACAAGAAAAGCTAGAAAGCTGAAATTTTAAGGGAATGTTCCCCGTCCAGGTAGGTACCAATGAGCCCAAATTCAACCCCCAGGTAAGCATGGTACCCGCATACGGGCCCGCCAAAATTTTTCCCGCGTAAATTTATAACTCGAGGATCTGAGATGCTAGAAGATTGTAACATTAATAGGGTGTTTCTCGTCCACATTAGTCTCAACGAGACCAGCCCTCGGTCATGCGTGATACCTATGCACGGATTCACCAAAGTTTTTCTCGGGTAAGCTCATAACCCGAGAACCTGTAAAGCTAAAAGACTGTAGTTTTAGGAGGATATTCCCTGTCCAAGTAAGTCTCAATGAGCTCAAATCCAGACATCGGGTATGCGTGGTACCCGAGCGTGGGCTCGTGAAAAATTTTTTCCAGTAAACTGCTAACTCAGGAGCCAGGAAAGCTAGAAAGCTGAAATTTTACGGGGGTGTTTCCCGCCGGTTTTGGTAGTCAGTCTTAATTTGTTTAGCTAGAAGGATCTGCCAAAAAAGCCGATGCCGGTAGCGACAAAAACTGTGGGGAACTATGCAAAAAAAGCACCATCGCACGGACAGCCCGTGCATTGGCCAATTATTTTTATTTGCTTTAAAATTAGCAAGATAGTGAAGTACTACAGCACAGAATTAGCGGAGTTGTTGCTATACTGAAATAAACTTTGGAAAGCTAATACTAATGCTTGTAGGCCACCGTCCACTCTGAAGAAAATACAGAATTCTCAGCATTTTTCTAAAAAAAATAGTTACGATCTGGCACTCGACTTTCATAATGAACTTACTTTTATCTAGAAGAGGTTTTTTACCCTCGACTGATCGTCGGCAGTTCTCAGCAACGAATTTGAACTGCTTCAGTTTTTTCAGCGCTCTTTGCTTAGGCTTCCGGAGCACGAAAAACAACATCACTGATGCTCCTGCAAAGGACTGAAACCATAAACCATATATGCTATGAGCCCTTCACATAGTTAGCAGAGC